GCCTGTCATATGACTTATTCAAAACCATGAAGGTGCTTACACACATACACACACAAAAAAATGCACTGTTTCTTTATGATCCCTTGTCTTTGTCATTCATTCAATAGATATACTAAGTACTAATTATGAGTGAGGTAGACAATGAGTATTAAGTATAGAAATGATTAGCCTCGTGTCAATTTTCAAAGGTAAAGTTTCATAACTTTACAGATGAGAAAAACAAGGCTCCAAATTAGTTTCATACCACTAAGTTAGAGGAAGAGGAGGCCAAGATGAACGAACATGAGTCATTCTATTATATCTTCTTGCTTCTTTTTCTTTCTCAAGAAAGCATATTTTTATTGAAAATGATAGAGATGATGATGTCCTAGATACACACCTGATGATGCTTCTGTCCTTGTTGGTGAGACCCAGGCAGAGGGCCTGGAGTGATCAGTTTTCTCTGAGTGTACTCTCCCAAGACATACCAGTTCTGTTCTACTCCTTCATTAGCCTCATGAGCATTTATTCCATAGTTTTATCTTTTGTTTTTAACTGTGTGTGTGTGTGTTTGTGAGAGAGAAACATAGATAGAGAGACAGAGAGAGAAAGGAGAGGAGGGGAGGGAAGGAGTGCAGGAGAAAGGGTGGGAGAGAGAGGGAGGGAGGGAGAGACAGAGACAGAGACAGAGATCACACATGTTTGCTAATGCACAGAGACCTGGAGCAGGGTGTCAGATCTCTTGGAACTGAGAGTCAAGGGTGATTGTGAGCACCCCAACTTAGGTGTTAGGAACAGAAATTTGTCCTCTGTAAAAATCAAGTGCTCTTAACCATTAAGCCATCTTTCTAGCCCCTAGCCTCCACATTTTAAAGTCTCTTCACACTGTCTAGTTCGAATATCATCGCTTAAGAAATATTTAGCAAGTGTCACCTCTGTCAGTCAAGGTGTTAGGGTGAGGATGGAGCAGGGACTCACAGCTTCCCAGGTATTTCCTGCTTGAGGACAGAGACCTGCCATTGGAATAAGCAGAGCACTGCTATTGAAGCTTTACAATATGTTTGACTTGAAGTCAATCTGAGCTCATGCTGTGAGTTTATGCAGCTGTCTTTAGTTGTCACATAACTGCATGACCAGGAGTCTGGATTCTTAGGGGCAGATACAGTTTCTCAAACCCTGCAATGGCTTGAGCCTTCTATGGTTCTAAAATGTTCCTGCCCTTGATCATGTTTTACTTTAGTTAGTTGTGGTGATTTGAATAGATAAGACTCCCCATATGCTAATGTGTTTGAATGCTTGGCCTGTAGATAGTGACACTTTAGGAGGTGTAGCCTTGTTGGAGGAAGTATGTGACTGTGTGGGTGGACTTTGAGGTCTCATATGTTCAAGTTGCACCCAGAGTGGGAGACAGTTCACTTTCTGCTTCCTTTGGATCAAGATGTAGAACTCTCCAGCACCATGTCTGCCTGCACATCTCTACCTCCATGTCCTGACATTATGATAATGGACTAGACTTCTGAAACTGTAGGCCAGCCCTGAGTAAATGTTTTCCTTCATAAGCGTTGCTGTGCTCATGGTGTCTTTTCTTAGCGATAGAAACCCTGACTAAGACATTAATGCTTTCCATTCTTTAAATATAAGGTTGGAGAGTTTTGATTTCCTTTCCAACCTTATCTCCACCTTGCCTGGGTGTTACTGGCAGGCATACTGCTAGGAAGCTGCTCTTTGTGTATATCAGAGTAGATAGAGATTTATTGCTGGAATCCGGAGAGCATTTCTGCAGATCTGGCTGTAAAGATAGGCATGCCTCCATCTGCAGGAGACATCTGACTGATATGCTAACCCTGGACACTGAGCGGCCTCTACTACTTGAGTGTTAAAAAGAGATGCTCAAAAAGGGAGAGTCATGATGGCCTCATTGCACAAGACTGAAGCAGAGATAGAGAGACTTAGCAGACAAGGAATGTAAAAGCATGCTTCCCAGATTGGTTCCTCATTCCCAGAAGATGACAGTTGAAAATGCAGGAAGATGTGGGGCAGGTTTCTAAACAGAACCAATAGGGGTGAGAAGGGTGAGGGGAGGACCAAGGGCCTTTCAGTTTTATGCCCCTTTCAACCTGAAGGGATGGAGCCATTTTTATTTTGCTTATTTATTTTCCCCCTTCTCTGTGGCCTGGTCTTCTGGCTTTCCCTGAGGTTCAGTTATTTGTTAGTCTCAGGGGATGAGCTCCAGTTTCCTGAATAACCTTCAGTGCCTCCATTATAGGACTCTTAATAAAAAGTAAAAATAGTCACAATTCATGATTTGAATGGTTCAAAGTCATTTGCAAGGAACAGTCTCCAAATCATCTCTTATTCAAGAGCAAAATGTTGAAAATATAAAAGTGAACAAGTTTGGCTTTATTAAGCATAGAAATGGGACATCTAAATGAAATGTTGCTTTTGATTGACATGTACCCAACATATAATGTGCATTTAAATATGTAATTTTAGAAATAAAATTTAATACTGTTTTTTACTTCATACATATTGTATTTGTCTTTATATCTACATTATATCAAATACAACATTATAATAGGCCCTTTAACTATTAAACCCAATATATTTTTAGGTTTGTTCATTTTATTTTGTATGTATGGGTGTTTTGTTATGAATGTGTACTGTGGGCATGTCTGGTACATGCTGTGGTCAGAAAAGTGCATCTGATCCCCCTGGAACTGTGTTAAGGATGGCTGTGAGCCCTGAGGTAGGTGCTTACATTTATGCAGCACAGGTCCTCTGGAAAACCAGTAAGTGCTCTTATCCATTTGAGCAGTCTTTTCAGTGCCTGGACTAAAACAGCTTCTCTTTAACGCTTTCTCATCATGTCACTGAGAAATGACACATTATATGTCTATCCACACATATCTATGTGTATATGGGAGGTTTTCTGGGTCTTCAGACCAATGAAGATGGGAGCTAACTCCAAAAGAAAGTTTGATTCAATGCCAGGCACTTTCTTTATGTCACGGCAGCTAAGCCATGCTAAGTACTTCCATTTGTTATGTGTTAAGGCCTCTTTGGGGAAACTGTGGTATCCGTAGTGAGTGTGTGTATGAGCATGCATGCACACACGTGTGTGTGTGTGTGTCTGTGTGAGTGTGTGTGTGTCTGTGTGTGTGTGTGTGTGTGTGTGTGTGTGTGTGCATTCTGGAGGCCTTCCTGAGGAAGACAAGTCAGGGTATCTGGGTAAGTTCCAGTGCTTGGGAGGAAGTCCAGGTTAGAGTTCATCACTGAGGGAAGCCAGGGCAAGAACTCTATCAGGAGGAGGGGCAGGAACCATGAAAAACACGGTTTGCTGTCTTACTCTCCATGGCCTGCTCCCTGTGGCTTGTTCTCCAAGGCTTGCTCAACCTGATTTCCTGTACATCTCAGAACTATCTATCCAGGGGTAGTACTGCCCACAGTGGACTAGGCCCTCCCACATCAACCAACAATCAAGACACCCCTCACCCCCGCAGCACATGCCAAGTTGATCTGGTCAATCTTTCAGTTGTTTGTACTGATGGCACCCAAGGTATGGAATGTAAAATAAGTGTATGGAATGTAAAATAAGTTCTCTATCAGAGAGCTTTAACTTCAAATTTCCAACCTTAGAGTGTGTGTGTGTGTGTGTGTGTGTGTGTGAGAGAGAGAGAGAGAGAGAGAGAGAGAGAGAGAGAGAGAGAGAGAGAGAGAGAGAGAGAGATTACTAAGAAGTCCAAGTTGGGTTTTAACATTTGTCCTCCTATCACAGGGTTTTTTCTTTTTTTAAGATTTTAATGTCCTTGCAATTCCAATCATTTCTAACATTTTTTGTTCATTTTATGGTGAATTTTAAATTAGTCATCTATTATTAGTCCCTAGGGTACTCAAGCCCTCTGCTTGCTCATGGTTTATTATTTTCATGGTTATGTTTTAACTTTTTCTTATGAATTACATATAATTGTGGTTATGTGTTCATAAGAATTTTGTTTAGGCTTGGTTGTAACAGTATCTTTCAGAATGCCCCCCAAAGCAAAAGAAAAAAACCCTCAACTTTAATGAAGTATAATTGACATGCAAAATATTTTAACAAATACACACACATAAGCCACCTACAGAGATGGGATGTTGAGCATGTTCACACTCTCAAAGCTGTCACCATTTGGGGCCTGTAGAGATTATTCATCAGTTAAGAGACCACAGTGCTCTCACAGAGGATTGGTGTTCAGTTCCCTGCACCCTCGTTAGACAGTTCACAACCACCCATAACTCTAGATTCAAGGGATCCAGTGCCCTCCTCTGGTCTCAGAGAGACTGCACTCATGCGCGTGTACCTGTACACACGCACACACACACACACACACACACACACACACACACACACACACAAACATGTGCATGCACACACAGAATTACAAAGCTCTCCATGTTCCCTTTTGAGCCCTCAGACTCTCCTGTCCATCTTCCTATCCACAAGGCTTCAGTGCTCTGCTGTCTGCTTTCAGTGACGATTTGCTAATATGAGCTTTCTAGTACTTTACCCAGAGGATCCCAAAGCATTGTTCTTTGTAGGTACTTGTTATTTTCAAATAATTGTTTTGGTATTCATGTGGGTCAGTGGGTCATTTATTTTGTTGAGGAACTGTATCCCATTGTGCAGCTATACCTCTGTTTATTTATCTGGTTACCTATTAGTTGGTATTTGGCTTGTTTATAGTTTTTAGCTATTGTGAGGAAGGTTGTACACGTAGCAATCACCCTATAAACACATGATTTTTTTCTTTCTGTTGAGTAAGAGGCAGAGTAGATTGCCTGGGTCATGGAGTAAATATGTATCTGGCTTTGCAAGATAAGGCCACAATGACTTCAATCATAAGCATCACAGGTTCTCAAATACAGTGTAGCCTCAGCCAGTAATTTTGAACTTGTGCCAATAATCCCCCCTCAGCCCTCCATTGTGGAATTACATATGAGAGTTTCCCCAAATTTAAGAAAAATAACCATATATTTTTTCTCAGTTTCTCTATATCTGGGATTTGTCCAACATGAGGAGTGCTCTGCAGGCTGTGGCCCTCTGGGGAAGAAAAGCTCCTCCACACAGCATCACGGCTATCATGATCACGGATGACCAGCAAACAATAGTGACTGGCAGTCAGGAGGGCCAGCTCTGCCTCTGGAGTCTCTCACCTGAACTGAAGGTACGTAAAGGTCACAGGTCTCTCTGTTTCTCAGCCCTCCAGTAGTGGTGGAAGGCTTGCATGGTGGTGCAGTGTTCACAAGACAAATCAAGACACTATGTGAATTATGAATAGTGTTAATCTCTGCTACCAGCTAAATATTACCACCCTTTAAGCTGCACCGAGTTTTACTATTCTCTGAATTATATGTGTGAGTAAGTGAACTATAGACATTTAAGTATAGCGCTAAAGAATTATGACCCATTAATATAAACAAGAGGCACTCCTGAAAGCCACTATTAACTTAATGAATAATATCTTAATTATCTGGACATTTCTGACATGCTAGCCGTCTTGCTATTCTTTGAGTCTCTGCTTTGCTGTGATTTTTTTACAGACCACATCAAAACCTCTACATTCAATTTACTGTTGTCACCCTCTGACTTCAGAACCTGACCTCACCTAGTATTGGACTCATCGATTAGCAATTAATTGTTTCTGTCCCAAGTCATAAACATTTAACATATCGGAATAGATATTTGCTTAACTCCAGCAGTCTCTAGACCCAATTTGAACAATTAAACTAATGATGTACTTAAAGTGTACTGCCCTCATTCAGAAGCCTTTTAAAGATCAAAACTATTTTTAGCCTTTAAAGTCTGTCCCTTTTAAACCTAAATTAACAATTAATTGTAATTCTATTTTATAGTGTAATTAATTAACACCTCCTATCCCTGCACCCTTCTGCTATAGGCCTGCTAAGAGCTGCACAGCAGACCAGCTCAGATCAATGTTTATGAACACTTTTGAAAAGACTGGGTAGTACTATAGTGAATGTGCTTCAAAAACGGTGCTCACATATATCTGAAAATGTATGTTTTCTATTATCGTTCAAACTCAGACTCCTAAATGGCCTAAAATCTTTTGCTAATCTTCTTAAATCTTTTTTAAAATATTATTTTCTGGCTAAAGTGGCTGGCTAGCAATGCATAGCTCACTATAAGCTTAAGAAATTTCAATAACCAGTGTCCTATTTCTTCTATGTGTTCCTGATACTCATTTAGTGTTTGGTCACTGAGCATTCTGAGTGCATACCAACAGTTAGCTTGAATGAGTTTATCCTGAAGGAGGAAACCTGTACTGGTGGCCCAGGAGGTTGCAATATAGGAGAGGCCAGACTAAGTTAATTAGGCCACTCTTAGTCAGCTGTGTGGTGTTCCCTTGGAAAGCTCTGTCCTGTTCTGTTTAGGAGCAAGTTGTGTTCTTACGGTTAAAGCTAGTTTGCCACCTTATGGACAATTGGTGATATTTTCAGGCATTTTCGGTTATCAAAATTGGAACCAGGGAGATGTTGCATACATTTAGTGGTTCCTCTTAATGTCTTAAAGTGTCTACAACTATCTAGAACAAAAGGACTTCCCAACCAAAAGTCTGTTATGCCAGTATTACATTGTGGAGTGGAATGAAACTCACGCAGGTGAGAGAAGGGAGTCATTTTGCTTATGGAAACACGCTGCACCTGCAGCAACGTAGAGCGAGCCCTTCTGCTGTATGCAGGAATTAACAAGGGTCAAAGACAGATGAGCTTGGAGAGGAGATAAGGCTTGGCAATGGAGATGTTTTGATGCCCAGGAAAGGGATTTTTGAATCTTCTAGGCAAGGGGGAACCTCTGGGAATGTCTGAGCCAGGTGTGGGAATGAGCCTTGTCTTCTGGGTGTTATCCATAATGATGCTATGGAAAAGTAGTCATGCAAATAAAATAGTATGTACAACAAACATGGTACTTTATATCTCTATGCTTCGACTGCTGTATACCTCTTAAGAGCTATATTACTCACAGCTTACCTTTTGGTGCCGTGGTCATCATGGCAGGGCTGGTCATAGGCAGATAGGCATGCCACTGGAGCAACAGCGGAGAGCTTACATCTGATCCACAGGCAGGAAGCACAGAGACAGTGAGACTGGGTCTAGCATGGGTGTTTTAAACATCAAAGCCCACCCCTCAGTAACACACCTCCTCCAACAAGGCCACACCTCCTAATCCTTCCCAAACAGTTTCTGCCTGGGGATCAAGCATCCAAACTTGTGAAGTTATGAGGGACCATTTCGTCCCAGCTACCTCAGGAAGGCAATGGTGTTCACATCTGCTATTTGTTCTGCAGTAGTTTTTCTCTGAGGGTGGAGTTTCTGTGAGGTTCCTGGAGTTTTTGTGGCTTTTAATCCATTGGAAAGGGATGGCATCCGAGTGGTTGTGCACCCAAGTGTGGTGTCTCGGTACAAGGATTTTTTGAGGTGGAACCTTCTGAATTTTCCAGGAAAAATGTAAAGTTAGAATTTAGTGGGTGATCTTAATAAACTAGAAGAATTTTAGCACAATTTTAGTATGACACGAGATCTTTTAAAATAATTCTGATTGTGGTAGAAATAAAGGAAACTATTATATTAGTTATATTTGGTAATCAGCTCGTGTATAAGTTTACATAGTTTAGAAAAAACACAGTGGGTATTGACCCATATGGAATATAACATTTTGTTATTCACAGACATTTTTGAAAATTATTTTTGTATCCATTATGTTTATTCTTCATCTAAGGCAACATTATACATTTTCTTTTTTTATTTTTATTAAAAGAGAAACCTAGAAAGGCTTACATAATTTTATGACTATTGAAATGGCTATACCTCAGATAATCGTGTTTAGTTAATTAATAAATTAAAGCATTCAAGGTTACAACTCTATTATTGACATATTTATACAGTTGCTTTGAATAATGTTTAAGAAAAGAACCCGAGGAGGGTGAAAAATGTTGAAGGAAATATAGTGTTGGTTTCAAGCACAGTAATCTTAGCATAGGAGTTAATTATTTTTTAGTTTCTCGTTTATTTTTTATTAATTTAATTTATTCATTTATTTTACATCCTGACTGCAGTTTCCCTTCCCTCCTCTCCTCCCATTCCCTCCGCCACCACCTTCTCTCTGCACCCCTGCCAATCTACTCCTCCTCTCTTTCAGTTCAGAATGGGGCAATTCTACCATGATTGTCAACAAAGATGGCATATCAACTTGAAGTAGGACTAAGCTCCTCCCCTTGTATTAAGGCTTGACAAGGCCTTAATAGGTTCCCCAAAGTCTGCCAAAGAGTCAGGGCAGGCCCTGTTTCCACTGCTAGGAGTCCCACAAGCAGACCAAGCTACACAACTGTCACATATTTGTAGAGGGGCTAGGTTGGTCCCATGCAGGCTCCTTAGCCATCAGTTTGTCATCTGTGAGCTCAGATGAGCCCATGAACTCTGTGAGTTCCCTTGTGATGACCTTGACCCCCACCCCCAACTTGTACAATCCTTCCTCCCTCTCTTCAACAGGATTCCTGGCCCATTGGCTGTGGATCTCTGCATCTACTTACATCAACTGGATGAAGGCTCTCTGATGACAATTAGGGTAGTCACCCATCTGATTATAGGAGATGACTAGTTCAGGTTACCTATCTACTTACTATAGGAGTCTTATCTGGGGTCATCCTTGTAGATTCATGGGAGCTTCCCTTGCACCAGGTGTCTACCTGACCCCTAAATGCCCCCATTTTTTAAATTGTGTATGTGTGTGTGTGTGTGTGTGTGTGTGTGTTTCTGTGAGTATGCACACATGAGTGCAAGTGCCCTCAGAGGTCACTAGAGAAAGTATGATCCCCCAAAACATGAGTTACAAGTGCATCTGAGCCCATGTGGATGCTCAGAGACAAATTCAGGCCTTTTCAAAGACCATTAACTGCTGAGCTGTCTCTCAGTTTCAAGTTTTCCACTCTGCAGTTTTAATTTTCAGTGTCTTTTTTTTAAAACAAAATAAAATGCTACTTTTTATTTCAGACATGAAATGATAAAAAATAAGCACTTGGGGGTACATATTCAAAACACTCATAGAAAGCAACACATTGACGTTGTAAATAAGCCTTTGGTTTGTTTTCTTGTGCAGAAAAATTCATTTTATTATTTTTGAGGGAGTCAAATTAGGTATCTAAAAATTCAGTACTTTATTTTTAAAAGCAGTTTAAAATTGGCAGCTAAAGTATAATTTTATGTCAAGACAAGGCCACACTTAGTGAAGGTACCCGAGTAGAAGACACAGGGTTCTTCATCCTTCACACAAGATGTCCACCATCACTGTGTGTTCTAGTGTGACTGCTTATTGCTGTGATAAATAACACGACTAAAACCCTCAGGGGAGGAAGTGGTTATTTGGTTTATACTTCCAAGTAATGGTTCATTACTGAGGAAAGTCAGAGGCAGGAACTCAATCAGAAGCCATAGAGGAACACTGCTTCCTGGCTTGTTTCCCATGGCTCGCTACTTGCTTTCTCATATAGCCTAGGCCGAGGGATGTACCTAGGGACAGTGCCACCCACAATGATCTGGGCCCCACTACCTCAATCACCAGTCACCTTCAAACATGCCTACAGGTCAATCTGATCTATGCAAATCTTCAGTTGAAGTTCCCTCTTCCCAGGTGTCTATAGGCTTGTGTCAAGTTAATAACCGATGCTTACTTTGACATCATGTCATCTTGGAGTGGTATATTGGGCACATCAATGGATTTAGAACCCATGATTATTGACTTCCATGATTCACATTATAGGTAATTCCTTCTTATTGCCCCTGGGTGGGCATTCTATGGACTTTGACAGATGTATACTGACCCACAGTTACAATTTTTCACGTGACACAGAAACATTTCATTGTTCTAGAAACCCCTTGTGTTCTACAGTCTCCTGCTTTCCCAAACCCTTTATGAGCACCAGTGTTGTTACATCTCTAGTTCTCTCTTGTCTCAAATGTCACAGAGTTGGAGTCAAACAGTGGTGGGCTTTCCAGGGTTGTTTCTGTCACCTAAGCAGTACACATGGGTTTCTACCTGTCTGTGCAGCTTAGCTGCTCATTTTTCCAGAGCCAGCTGATATTTTGCTGTTTGCATACAGTCCTGTGGTTTTTGTTCTGGTGAAGGGCAGTTTGGTCATGTTCTCATTTTTAACAATTTTGAGCCAAACTGTTACAAATGTGCATAGGTTTTTGTGTGGATGTTACTTTTCAATTTGTGTGAGAGAATACCAATGAATGTCATCCCTGTGTTGAGGATGACCTTCATCATGGGATCCTCCTTCCTTAACCTATCAAGTGCTGGAGTTACAGGCATTCAATACCACACCCAGCAAGAAATCGTTGCCTTCACAGATTGGGGTCATCTGGAAAATCTCTGTGCATGAGAAACACCAGTGTTGACTTTTATGTATTCAAAACTGAAATGTTGAGGAACTGGTCTAGTGCTCATCGAAGTTTCATGATGGAGCCCAAACATGAAGAAACAGAAAGTTGAAGGCAACATATCCCTTCATCTGCAGGTTTTCTAGTCTGTGGATTTTTATGTGTTATGTAACAGCTTTCCTGAAACTTGTGTACATCAAAAAAATCTTAGCATTTTAAAAAAGTGTGTTATTACTATTATTATTCCCAGAAGTTTAGAGTTGTTCAAAAACCTCAGTTTCAACATTTTCAGATTTCAGCTAAAGAACTTCTTTTTGGGCATTCCGCTTCAGTGACATGTTTGGCAAAAGCAAGAGACTTCTCCAAACAGCCCTACGTTGTGAGTGCTGCTGAGAACGGGTGAGTGACAAGTGTCTCCATTGAGCTCCATCACCATGAACTTCCTTTGTCAAAAGCTAAGAATGTGTGTGTGGGAGGGGAGTGGAGGAGAAATGGATCCATGGGTAAGGTGCTTGCTATTCAAATGTGCATTCCTGTGTATGGGTCTCCTGCAACCAGGAGCAAAGCTCTAACCACACAGCTAAGGAGCACCATAGGAGACCCTTAAGTGCGGTCCAGTCAGTCTAGCCAACTTGATGAACTCCAGATTCCATGTGAGACCATGAGAGAGCAATCTAGACAAACCACCCAATGCTAACCTCTGGTCTCCAGGGATTTCATGAATGTCACCTTAACTCTAGCATTCTATAGGCTAAGACAGAAGGAACACACACTGAAGGTCATCCTAAGCCCAGGAAATGGCATTGCTATTCTCCCATACAAACTGAAAAGTAGCATGTACACAAAAACCTACACACAGTTTTCCACCTACTCTCCATGTACACCCCTGCACACGTGTATACGCATAAACACAAAGGCATTCATAACAAAGTGGAAAGTGACTGAGGAAAATAATTAGTGTGGACCTCTGTCCTCCACACACAAAAGCACAAAATAAGGCAGTTGAACAAAGTTGGGGCAAAATATTAATCTCAACTAAATAATAGGACTGAGCTTAAAATTAAATTAGAATGATTGTCAGACAGCTGTAAAAATGAATAAAATCAAATAAAAAATAAAAGAAAATAAAGTTGGGAAAGATGGTTGTGAAAAAATAAGTAATGTGAGTACTTTTGTATTAACAAAATGAAATTGATATGGTAGTATTAATATTTTATATTAAAAACATAAAGAGTTAATGCAAAAAATGGCTAATTAAACTTAAAGGCAAAAAGTCTTGGTATTAACAGAGAAGATTTCCACTTGTTAAGAGAAATTCTGGTTACCAGTAGATGTGAAGTAGACAAGTGTCAGAACTCAGAACAGAGACATCCTCCTCTGGTCTCCATGGGCATTACACTCACGTGCGCATATACATTACAGCCTCCCCCACATACACATAAATAAAAGGAAAATAAATCTACGAAAACAGATTATTAAAGATACCAGCATAAAAATAAACAACTTCAAAATGTGTCAGCTTACCAAGAGCTTTTAAAAGCCACGAATGCCAGTATGCAGTCACTTTGTAAATACTTTCAGGTGCTTGCCAATGTGGGAAAGGGTCAGGGACCACAATGCTGAACTACAGACTGTGTTATTTTATGCTGTGGGCTGCTTAGAATTCAGTTTCTTTACCTTTAATTTCTATATACTCATTTCCCTTTAGGTACATTATTAATTGTTTCATTTCTGGGATATATTCTTTTAATTTCTGTCTTTCCTTCCTTTATTGTTTTCTTACATGCATGCAAATGCACAGGCATATGTGTTTGTGAGCACAGATATTCCCTCCTGTTTAGTAGGATTGCATCCTTTTTTAGGCTACCTTGAAACCTCTTTGGGATGCAGTTAGTTAAAAACAGAAGGGAGGTTTTCTTCGGGTATGAGGGCACGCCTTCTCTACCTCATTTTCAAGGCATTTTGGAATGAACATCCTTTGTTGTGGAGACCTGGACACTGCAAGGTGACTGAGGCACCTCTCCTCTCTGCCCACTAGATGTCAGTAGTGTGTTCCTAGTGGCAAGAAGGTTGTCTCTGTGAAGCGGTTGGTAGTGGGGAACAAAAATCACCCCAGTTTAAGAATCTCTGATTCAAAATATTGGTCATAGTTCTTGATTATAAAAACAAACCTCTGAAAATCATCAAGTACATGGAATATTTAGCAACACACACACACGTACACTGACACACAGACACACACACACACATTTAACCTCAACTGCAGCATTTCCCACAACACTCATAAAGCTTGTTTTTGTCTATATAAGTGTTTTTGCTTATGCTATAAAAATTTTCCAAAACCAAAGAATATTATGCAACTCTGATTCGACTGTCCTTGATCTAGATTTAAACTATCTACATGGTATGTTTTATAGCTTCATTGTACAAACTGGGCTAACGTCTTTATAACATGCATTAAAACTGAGCTTTCAAAAATGCTGAGGGTTTTCCAAATATTAAGTGTCAAGGTTTGCTTATTTCAGGATTTCAAATCAGAAAAATAAAAAAAAATCAAAGAAACTGGATCAATGATTGATCGAATGTAGCCTCTTGGTGGTGCTGTTTGTTTTCATGAGAGAAAAGTGTGTGTGTGGGGGGGGGTTCTTACACACACAGAGATTTGATGTGTTATCTTTCCCAGAATATGTAGTTTAAGCTCACTGAAATAAGTTTTGAATGTTTCCACAGACAGACTGTGGCACTGTCCCTCTCAAAGGCCACCATGGCTGAATTCCCACAGCTTGTTGTTAGGCAGAATGGCCTCAAAGCAGAGCTTGCAAGCTGTACGAAGGGTGTCATTACCCAAACAAAATGATAGAGCCACGGTGTGTCAACCCTGCTAATCACCACAGCATTTTCTTGTCCAGTAATCTGTAACAAAAAGCCACATGAACGATCAGCTTGCACCTAAGTGCATCACTAAAGAAAAACTTGGCGGCACAAAAATTATTCCAGCCAATTGTGTGGAAATAGCAGAGAATAATACAGACTTCTCTGTTCTAGGGAGATGTGCTTGTGGAATGTGAGCAGTGGTCAGTGTGTGGAGAAGGCCACCCTTCCTTACAGGCACACTGCAATTTGTGTAAGTGCACTCCCTTCCGAACAGTTGAGATGCCAACACGTAGCTTGTATATAGTGGTTTCTATCTGAGCACTAAATATCTTTGGAGAATATTCTTTTCTTGAATTTTCTTTTGTTTTTCTTCCAAGATAGAAAAATATCACCAGCAATTGTCTATTTTGGCCTTCCTCACAATCTAAAGATATTGGTGAACAATGTTTATTTTGTTTCTGTATCTTGTCTTTAAAAATGATTTTCATATTGTTTCACATTTCCTAAGTTACACAAAGTATCCGAGGGAAAATTCCGCTTTAACCATATGCTATTTTATAAAAGATGAAGCCTCTTCTGGGTCTGGAGAGATGGCTCAGGGTTAAGAGAATTTACTAATCTTACAGAGGACCTGAATTTGGTTCCCAGGATACAAAGCCTGCCTCTAATTCTAGTTCCAGGGGGTATAGTGTCCTCTACTGGCCTCTGCAGGCAGTGCACTCATATGCACACACCCAACTCCCCACTTGCACATGTAAAAGTGAAAATTGTAAGCATAAATCAGGAAAAAGAAAAGCTTGTGACACATTTTTCAATCTTCACCAGTTCTTTTGGTGGATTTCTTGATTTCTATTTTTTTTTAATTTGTGAAAGAAAAGGAGACCTAGTTATAATTCTGTAATCACTTTCCAATCCAGGAGTTTTCTGTTTCTCCATTGTTGGAGTTTGAACCCAGGGCCTCAAACATACCAGACAACTAATTTCCACTGAGCTCCATCTCAACATACTTTCTGTTTTTTTAAAGTAGTTTCTGTATTTTGATGGACAGAGCATATTTTTCCCATTGTTTGTGCTGCTGGTGCCTCTTGTCATAACACTCTCATACTCTCCGCTCTTCCCCTGGACTACAACCCAGTTACAAAGTGCAGGCAAGATAGAATGCATAATCTGCTCTTTAATAGGAAATACTTCCAGAATTTAGTTGTTCCAAAATATCTCCCATCTTCTTTAAATGCCTTCATTTCTTACTAGTTGTTTAGCAATACTGCTGGGATAGAGAGCCCAGTTTGTTATTGTTTAGCTCTAAATAACACTGCAGAAGTAATATAGCTACTGCTGCCCTATGATTTGCAGTATTTCTTGTAAAAGATCTCCACTTTACCCTGGGGGATGAGATTGTGATGGGGGGGTTGTCGGTGAAGGTAAGCCGCAAAATCAGAATGGCAGGAGTGTGTGACTAATAAAGAGAATTGGAGGTGTTGCCTAGTTCAGGGGTTTCGTGGCAAAGAGACAGAATGGCATTCAGAGAGGCCTTTACACAGCTAGGTGGGTGTCAACACCAGCCATCTTTGAGGTGCTCTTCTTGGAACTCCATCCCACAGTACTACCACTGCTCCTTCCGGATGACGGGCGAAGGCTGGCTGCTGTGCTGCGGGGAATACCGAGATGTCCTCATCCTTGATGCTGGAACTCTGGCCTTTCTGCACACCTTTTCCTCTTCGCAGTCCCCTGACTGGATGAAATGCATGTGCATTGTTCACTCTGTGAGAATTCAAGGTAACCATGGGTGTCTCAGCACTCTGACTGAGCAGCACCTGGTTGAGATGCTAGTGAAATTGTCAAGCCGGGGCTGAGAATGCTGCTGGTGGTGTTCACCTTGTCCTGGGGACAGCTCTCAAAGCCATGTCAGAGGAGACCCAGATTCCCTCCACCAGTGGGCCAAGTTATTAGGAAACCAGCAGGAGGTGAAGACAAGCATTTCTATGACCCAGTTCTCAGTTCGTCTAGCTGAGAGAGACAGACGGTTGGGCAGTTTGCTCCTTCCTTTCCTTTCCTTTCTTTTTGCCCCTCCCTCACTCCTTTTCCTTCCCATTCCTTCCTCTTCCCCTTCTTGTTTTTTTCTTGTTTTTACTTTTTCTTGTTTTTTTCTTTTCTTTTTGTGGAGCAGCAGGATGCTTTTTCTGTATATACTACTGAAATTCAATTTCTATAATCAGTAATGCTTGAGTAAAGTGAAGTTGGTCCTACGGTCCCATTTGAAATGGGCTCAACATCACCAGCATCTGCGGGGTGCCCTGGCTCTTTTTTTAGCTGTATTCTTCACATACACAGGGAGTTAGGACATGGAATGAAATCATTCCCTTCATCCAATAAAAGCCAAAGCTGAATATATCCTGCAGACCCAGGCTTGTGCTATGGCTGGCTATGAGGTAATAGTGACAGCACACAGGTTCACTGACTGACAGGTCATCCCTTCCTTTCACAGAGGATTCTCTCTTGGTCGTATCTGTAACAGGCGAGCTCAAAGTATGGGACCTCTCCTCGTCCATCAACAGCGTCCAGGTTGGCATAGAAACCACTCACTTTTCCATTATTTCAATCACTATTCATTGAAAATTTCAAACTACAAGGGGGATACATGTTCACAGTTGAAGGTTTAAATGATATCTTTCCAAGGGTGGCCGGCCACTGAGGCAGTTGAATTGTATCCTTCCAACCATGACCATACATAATGCAAATAGGTTTATTTACACACAAACAGGGAAGGAGTAGAGAAGGGAAATGGTTATATTTTTAATTTAAAAATCGATAGTAGACATTGTTCTGTCCCCTCTATTAGAACTCTTTCAGGGTATGGGACCTGTAGACAGACAGATGTATAGGAGGGTCACTTTCCTGGGGATGCCCCCATACCCACCTGCTCCCTAGCATCAGACTAGAGTCATAGTGACAGACAAAAGAGGGAAACACAGTATGTGTGTCAGGCTGCACCACACAATCTGTGGCAATTTCTTCATCGATATTGTGCTATTGTCGCTCATTAGAAATACTCCCCTCCCGTCTTTGCACTATTGGAAGCTTCAGCAGGCTTGTTGCCCTGCATTGACTATGCTTATGCCTCTTCAAAGCACCCCTTGTATGGTTTCCTTCTGGTTTTTGGAATCAAGGTACTACAGGGAAGGTTTGTTGTTGCTGTTCTGATTTTTACCATTTTATGCCCTTCCCCTCTGTTCTGTCTGAAAGCCAGTGACTTCATATTTTCAACACTTCTCATGGTTCCTTGTAGAATAGTATTTGGTTGACTATCAACAATAAGTCCTTGAAGCTTGCCAAGTCATGTTTAGATCAAAACACTGGGAAGGAACCTTGGCTACTTGTGAAGGACCAGTATGGAGCATATTAGAAAGAATATGTCTTCTGTTTATGTGTACATTTCCTGGAATTTGTATTCATGTTTTTTTTCCTTTTAAAGGAAAAGCAAGATGTCTATGAAAAAGAATCGAAGTTTCTTGACTCCATGAACTGTCAGACAATACGATTTTGTACATACACAGAGAGACTCCTGCTGGTGGTATTTTCTAAATGTTGGAAGGTATTAGAAGTACTGGTTTTCTTGTTAAGCCAAGCAATGATAATATATTTTTAATATCGAAAAGAAACTCCTTAAAGTACTAATGTTAAGACACGGAATGATTAGTCATTTCTGCCTGTCTTATTGTTATGTGCTCCATTACTGCACTCCCTAAGATATTTTATGTGAACCAATACATTCTAGTTTTATCAAAAACAAATCATGGTAATGATGAAAATGATTTCTGGGGGCTGGAGAGATGACTTAGTTAAGAGCACCAGCTGCTCTTGCAGAGGACAGGTTCTGTTCCTGAAACCCACATGGTGGCTCACAAATGTCTGTGACTCTCTTTCCTAGGGATGTGATGTTCTCTTTGGGCCTCTTTAGGAACTTATGCATGTGATGCATACATACAGTCAAACACTCATGGATAAAATAGAAACAAATCCTTTAAAAAGAAATGAATTTCCAAAATATTTTCAAAATCAGTGTCTGCATTTTCCTTTTAGAAAGCTAATACTTGCCACTTATATAGATAGATCATATTTCTGGATTTTTTTTCTGTTGTGTCACTACCATGTTTTAGGGAATATTCTTTCTTTGCCTGTGAATATAATGAGTGATTTCTCCAAGAGTAAAGAAAAACTAAATTATCAGCCAATGGCATCTCTATTTACTATAATGTTTCACATAACTGCTAGTAGAAGTCTGATTTGTGCCATAATGATATATTGTCTCTAAAAATTTAAAGTATGCAAGCTAACTAAGGATCTCTGCTATGCAAACATTTTATGTAGAAGAAGTTTTTAGATGCTATACTGGGACAAATCAGACGGAGAGAATAAAATTATTTAAAAATGTAGGATTTGGACTTCTATGCTTAACAGGTACAGCCAGATAGCTTTATCCCCTGCAAGCTACCTTAGGATAAATGGGAAAGAGTACATCTGAGTGAAATATTAGTAAGTCACAAAACATTATCTTAACCCATGGGTTTAGTATGCTTGCTTTTTATGTTTAATAAGCTGTAGCATTAGTTTCATCATAGTTTTGATAACCATAATTATTGCTAATCCTCCTAGCAGGGTCTGTTTCCAGGATTTATGTATATCTGTAATTTCCTACAGGTTTATGACTATTGTGATTTTTCCCTTCTGTGGACGGAAGTTAGTAGAGACGGGCAGTTCTTTGCTGGTGGAGAGGTACTTGCTGCTCACAGGGTCCTTGTTTGGACAGAAGATGGTCACAGTTATATCTATCAGCTGCTGAACAGGTGGGCCTCAGATGGGAGCGGCGTTCAGAACATTCAGGTAGAAAATGAACTTGGGGAGGTTTATTATGGAAAAGCCTCTGCATGCAGCCCCTGATCAAAACCCAGAACAAAACAACTTTGGCACTGGAAGATTTACTCTGGGCTTGCAAGGCCTCTGCCTTTGTACAACACAGCAGGGGATGAAGGCATGAGATTAGCCATGTAGAACTTGTACAGCTGGTGCAGGGCTTTCAAAAAGTCACTCATAATTATTAACCCAACAATTTCTAACCAGAGTTTAGAAACTCGAATGGTGCCATCCGGCTTATGAAAGTAGGAGGGGTGGTTTTGGTAGAGGCGAATAAAGGACCCTAAGTTTCTAAAGTTTGCTTTAAATTTTCCCCACACAGTGGGCTTTCCAAATGCATATGCCCCGTCGATGGAGGAGTCCTCAAGGAGACAATCTACCCCCACTTACTGTGCTCCACTTCTGTGGAGGAAAATCAGGTAAGATAGGAAAAGCAGTCTCAAGCCTGCTTCTTGCTTTATAATAGACTCGGGCTTGCAAAAATGAAACCAAAGCATGAGATCAAGCTGCCAAGAGAAGATCAACTTCAAGTGTTAATGGTGACGAAAGAGGAAATGCCACCCTTCAGAATTGTATAGGGAAATTACAAGTGTGGGAGAAAATAAAGAAGATATTAAAATTCTGATTTTTCTGCCATAAATATTGACCGTTTGCCTAGTGTAGCTGGGAATGTTTCAATTGCTGAGAAGTTAAAAGAATAGTACAATAAACACTTACTTGTCCTTTACCTGGCTACACCAGTTCTTGAAATTTTATCGTATGATCCTCTCATATAGACGCACACACCTCACATTTTTTCTTTGCTCTGTTCCATAGTGCATTTGTAACATTTTTGATATACCAATTCTCCAGCTTTATGAAAGGGTTTTGATACTTTAAAAAAACCCTTGACTTATCTATCAAGATCATTTTCACATGTAATTTCTTCTTCAAATGTGTGTAATTAAGGTTGCTGGCAGATGGTAGAGGCTATAATTGTGAGCTTCCTGCTTGGCTGAACGACACTTTTGACAGTTGACCACATCTGAAATCCAAGCAGCACCTTCCTTGCAGTGATGCTATTCAAAATTATTTTTAACCTGTAGAATCAATTGTCAGTTAATTTCCAAAAAGGTACTATATAAAGGGAAGTGTTTTATTTTGGTGACATGTCACCATGAAAGTGCATGACTATGTACAGAGTGATTCTTTGCTTAATTAGGCAGCAGAGCTCTTGGAAGCCCCACAGCCGGGATGCCCCTTTAATGTTTTGTTGTAAAACTTGGTTAAAAATCTCAGCCAGAACTAAGAACCCCAGGTGCAGCTAGAGCAGTTAAACAAAACAAAAAACAAAAGAACAAAAAGAAAGCTTCAGAATTACAGCATGCATCAGGGGACATTTTTAAAATCCTTCCCAGGCAGCAGAGAAGCCTTGTCACAAAACAGTGTTATGTCTCCCTCAGACAGGCATTTTTGTTGGTTTGTAGGACCTGCTGTTTTCTCCATTTTGGCTCCGGAGCAAATTTTTACCAACATAGTTTTCCACAGAAATCAAATGTCACTCACGAATTTCTACTCTAACAAGTAAATAGCAAGGCTATATATGAAACCATTGTTTGAAATTAGAAAGTTGGGGATGGAGAAATGGCTTGGAGGTTAAGAGCACTGGTGGCTCTTTTAGAGTACCTGGGATCAGTACTCACCACCATATGATGGCTCACAACTATCTGTAACTCCAATTCTAGGGGACTTGATGCCCTTTCCTGATCCACAGGTACTCTACACACATGCCACACATGCGTGCATGCACACACACACACACACACACACACACACACAAAGACAAACACTCATACACATAAAATAAAACGATTTTTGAAATGGAAAGTTATCTAGCTTTGTCTCTCCAATTATGAACACATAAAGAGATTGGTTCTTTGTCAGATTTCTCTGTCCCTAAACCCATATTTTAAGTGAAAGAAAGTAGAATCTACTGCACTATAAGTAGAATAATCAAATTTTAGGAATTTTATCACAGTAGACCTAGAAAAGACCATTCTGCAAGCACATGGGGAAGGTTGTAGGGTCAATGTTTGGAGCCCTACCATAAAGTTATAACTGGTGTTTTGGCATTGTTGAGAGTTTCCATTGGTTCCCATGTGAACCTATCTGCTGATGGGTTTCTTTGTCTCTTGGAGGGGCCCCTGGCACTCTGCAAGTCTCAGCTGACATAGAAGGAGGTTCAGGTCCAAGGTGGGCAGGTGTGTTCAAACTAAGAATGATGAAGTTGGTGATAGCTAATATGTATTGAAGTGTTATCATTTACAAACATATAAAATACTTCATGCCTTCAGCTGCCATTAGGAGGCCATTTTCAAACTGGCATTTGGAAAGATTAAGTCCAAAGTTTTATAATAGGTCTGATAATGAGTCCATAGAGACAGTTGGTCAATAGTACTGGAAAGGATACCAAGGACTGCAGGAGTGAATATATTTATATATCCTGGTGCTATCATAACTAACTAATAGAACTGAAGCAACTGAGAAAGACTGCTCATCTTTTGTGAGAAGTTATCATCATGAACACATAGGATCCAGATACAGAGTTTGGAGACTCAAAGTCTCCATCATTATGGTTAACCCAAGCCATTTTCTCTTGCTTTTTTCATATATAAGTTAAAGACCATAACAGCCCCAACTCATAGCATATTGAAGGGTGTTTTAAAAAACTAAACATGTACCTAGCCATTATTGATAATGCTTTCATGAAGGGATGTATGCAACACACACACACACACACACACACACACACACACACACAGTATACCCAAGGTTAGACACACTTGTGGCAACTCTCTGAAGCTGTGATCTCACTTCTAACTTTTAATCAAGGCTTTTCCCTCCTTTTCACCTAAATCATGGGTGGTTTCATTTAATTCACTAGAGAATTTTGAAAGAGCTTAGAAGTGTTTGAACAGGCTTAACTCAGTTTTGAAGTCTCACTTCTCTCTTCCTGTGGTCAGAGCATTACCACATTACCTATGCCAAGCTCATGCTTTATTTTACAGAGCCTGCATTTTGTCATGGGCTACATGAATGAACGGAAGGAGCCTTTTTATAAGGTACTTTTCTCTGGAGAAGTCTCAGGAAGAATTACATTGTGGCATATTCCAGATGTCCCCATATCTAAGTTTGATGGTTCTCCTAGAGGTAAGATGGTTTTGCTCCCCACCCCCTCCCCAATACAGTATCTCCTTAGGTAGACCTGGTTGGCCTTGAATTTAAACTCACAGCGATCTTCCTGCTTCCTCCTCCCAAGTACTAGGATTAAAGGTTGACCCCACAATGCCTAGCTTGTCACTTTACATTTCTTTCTTTTTTAGTTTTAATTTTGCATATATGTCTGCTGTGAGTATGTGCACATGAACACAAGTTCCCACAGAAGCTAGTGGTGTCTGAACCTCTCTGGAGCTGGGGTTAGAGGTAGTTGTGAGCTACCTGAAGTGGGTGCTATGGATTGAACTTGGGTCCTCCAGACAAGCAGTAGATGCTTTTAGCAGATGATCCACTTATCTGGTCCCAGAAGTTTCAGTTTCTGATTCTGTTATCTGAAAACTAATTTGTGATTAGTTCAGAGACTTTTTGCATTGAGCCATTTGGTTCTACAAACAAGAAGAGTGAGGAGTCTACCCAGACCCTTGTCCAGACTGCTAACTTGTCACCTTGGAGACATGCCTGTGGCATGTCTGTGAAGAGAGTCTAGACCAGGCTATCTAAGGTGGGCGGGGGGAGGATCTCTGATGTGGGCAGTGCAATGGCACAGGCTGGAGTTCTGGACTGAATTAAAGGGACAGAGCAATCTGAGCACCATTTTTGTTGCTCTTTGCTTCCTAAGTGCAGATGCAAAGTGAGCCCTGCCTGCAGCCCCCAGTCATCACTTCCCCACCATAACGGACAGTTCTCTTGAACTCTGAACTAAAGAAAATCCTTCCTTCTTGAAGGTTCTTTTGTGAGGCATTTGGCCAATCAACTGGGGGTGTAATACCAATATGAAACATATATAAGTTTGGGGATCTGATGCACAAATACAATCGACATAATTCAAATGACCTTCAGCTGAGCAACCCAAGGGACATAGACCAGGGTTCTGTGTGGGACTGAGCTTTTCTACCCAGTTCATACTTCTGAAGAGATGGCAACTTGATCAGATTTTCCACATCTATTATGACTAAGTGAGTCAGCTTTTCCCTGTGAATGTGCTCCTTTCAGAAATACCAGTAACCACCACCTGGACTCTCCAGGATAATTTTGATAAGCATCAAACAGTGTCACAGAGCATCACAGACCATTTCTCTGGGCCCAGAGATGAGATGGGAATGACAGCGGCCATCACCTCATCAGAGTACATTCCAAATCTTGATAAACTCATCTGTGGCTGCGAAGACGGGACCATTTTCATCACTGAGGCTCTGAATGCTGCCAAAGCAGGACTCCTAGAAGGGGACTCTTTATTGAAAGGTGACTGAATTTTTTACTCACAATATTTACTTAATTTATGGAATCTTCTACAAGCTATACAAAAATGTCCTAAAGGCCTCAGACCTTTGATAGCATTTGCATATAAATTTGTGCATGGTTTAATAATAAATTAGGCATGTGCAATAGGTTTATGAACACTCCAGCAGAATATTGTACTGTCCCATCTGAAGCTTCTCATTCCTCTTTAAAGGCATGTAAAAGTTTCAATATACTTCCTGAAATTGTATATGTGTTTGTGTGCAAACACATACACACACACACCAGCACAACGTGTGCCGTGTTTTAATTATATTACCAAAATAGATGCCATGCAGAGTTATTATTAAATAAATATCAATAAAATATTTTTGGTGCTCATTCTTCATGAGCTCATTTTCAATGACAAATAATAACCAAAATTGAGGTTGAAAAACTTTCTGTTAATTGATACTTAAGTTTTCCAGCCTTTGGCTACTATGGAAGATTTAAAATTGATTATCCTTGAATGACTACATCAATAATAGTTTGTGATTTTGATTTTGATAATTAAGCTATTTGAATGGTTCCATAAATAACTGATTTCAGCAGATACATGAATACTCAATAATAAACTGTGAGATTGTGAGTGTTCCCCAAATATTGATCACCTTTTATGTTTTTAAAACATTTAAATCTTTACCAGTGAGGAATAAAATGGTATCTTCCTGTATTTATTTATATTTTCTTGAAATGATATCTGTGTTCTTACTCATCTCTGTGCATTATGAAAATTAATGCCTACTAAACAAATTTCATTATACAATGAGTTGTCATATAAGGAGAGGGAAGACAAGAAGGGATGGCAATTTTAGGATATATATTTAAAAAAGTATGTCTGTGGTTTTTTTCTTTTGATTTTGAGTGGTTCAACTTAGGGTATTATGCATGCTAGATAAGCATTCAGCTGTCAGATCTCCAAATGAACTTCCCTTTTCTTTCCCTGCAGTGCTGGGGATCAAACCTAGGGCCTTACACGTCCTAAGTTTTCTTGTTGTTGCTTTGCTTTTGTACTTTTTACAATTAGAGCACCCTCATCTAGTCCTCATTCTTCCACACTTGAACTACTCACCGAGTGTGAGTGACTTGTGGGTGACCACAGAGGAATAAATGGCAGTGGTGCCAACAGAGATTGTAAGTCGGTAAACAGCCGCCATGAAAAGGTCAGAAGAAATGGCGATGGCAGATATTTTAATCAAGGCCGATGTATCCTAATAACACGAGACAGACACACACACACACAGAGAGACAGAGAGAGACAGAGACAGAGGGAGAGGGAGAGGGAGAGAGGGAGGGAGAGAGACAGAGAGACAGAGACAGAGACAGAGGGAGAGGGAGAGGGAGAGAGGGAGGAAGAAGGCAAGAGGTAGTGGGTATGAGAAGAGCAAGAGGAGAGAGCAAAGACAGCGTAAGTGGGCGGGGTCTGTCTTTTAAAGGGGTCCGAACCCTGTGCTGACCAGAGTGCTGCCTGAGTGCATTCTGCCAGGTAACAGGGCAGGCCAGCATAATGCCTGAATCCTTTCATTTATAGCTTGCTAAGGCCAGAAAATGAAGCAGAACAAAATAACAGATCTTTGAGATTCCATTTCAGTTCGAATAAAGAGGCCTTCTCTAGTTTGGAGAGTGTGGGTAGCAATGAAAGGAGCCACAGGAGCTGGTGACAAGGGAAGCCATGGGCCAGAAGGCCTGACTTCTAGCTCAGGTCCCGTGTGAAAGCCGCTTGCCCACATACCTGTGTGATTCCCAGGCGTTGTGCTGGGAATATAGTCATTTCATCCCAGTCTGTCCAAACAAGCGGCTGTCACTTGTTTCTTCAAGCGATGGGTAGAAGCTGTGAGTCAGAAGAAAGGACCAACACGTCCACATCTGTGGCCGCACATGCAGGTGCGGGAAGTGACTGACTCACAGGAAAAGGGAAGATTCCTTCAGCAGCAAGATTTAAACATTGTGCCCAGCTTCTGACAGACTTTGAGCCTGGTGTGTTTTACCTGTGAGCAGTGGAAAAGAGGGAGAACTTGATCATTTCAAACTTCTTTTGCAGCAAAACGTCGTGAGACATTTGCTTTTCTTTTCTGTTAGATTTAACGTGGCTACTCTTGTGAAGAGGGAGTGACTAGTCCTCTCATGTTGGAGCATGTCAACAACCATCGGCAAACAGGAGGCTTGAAGGACCAATCTTCCAGCTTCACTCAAAGCTTGCTTGCTGTAGCTTCATCAGATGGGGCATTTTGCTTTCTGAGATGGCCCACTAAGGCTTATGGATAATTTTCTTAGCCAACTGTGTGCATATTTGAAAATGTGTGAAACAAAAAACTTAGAATTACCTCAAAGATAAATTTTGTCCTACTTTGTGTCTGACCACTTTCCAGATCCCCCCTGTCATGTGCTTCTCAGAGGCCATCACCAGAGTGTGACGTCATTACTTTACCCTCACGGTCTTGCTTCAAAATTAGACGAAAGTTGGATGGTGTCTGGGGATCAAGGTTCCTGTGTGATCCTGTGGGATATTTTTAAGGAAGAAATTCTGCACACATTCTTTTTGGAATCTGGTCCAGTAACAAGACTTTTGATGTCACCAGAGAACTTGAAAGTAAGTAAACATAAAGAGTAAAACATAACACACAATTTAAAAAGCAAATAATAACAAAACCCTATTTTCCCACAGTAGACAAACAAACAAACTACTGGATCTTCTTCCTACAGTTGGCTAGCTGCTTCAAACTTTTCAATATGAATTTTATTTTTATTATAATGTATCACATATACAATGTTTCTAAAGTAAACGTTGGATCACTTACAGCTTTATAAAATCTTCTTCATTAAACACAAACTAATCAGATTTTCTTCTCCCTCATTCTGTTTTAATTTTTAGTGTGGACTTTTAAAATAAATTCAAAGATTATGCAAAAGCAAGCCAAAGAATGTAGGAATATATAAAGTTTAGTTATGATTTCCTTAGTAAATGCTGGATGAACATTTAATAAATATTGAATTCATGAACATCATTCTCCCTGATGGGGGAAACAAAATAGTGCTTCTCTCCTCATAAGACATCAACTTAAACCCAGTTAACAAAGAGCAGAGATCTTTGTTAACTGTGAACCAGATTTTGAGAAAAAAGTATGTGGCAATGTAAATAAGATATGTGGTAAGTTAGTTTGGTTTATAAAATTATGTCTATATAGTGCAAACATGTAGAAATTGACACTGTATTTTGGTAACAAGACATGAAGAAACATATTTCATGATCAGAAAGGATTAAACTAAACAGAGAAATGCTGTTCCAGAAACTTCCATGTGGACAATTGGAATACTGTGGAATGTATTTTATTCTTGAGTCTCTCTCCTGCTCTCTTTCATTTCTTTTCTCTTTTTTGCTCTAGGACAGAAGTCCAAGTCTGTCTCACACCTGTTTCCTTTTTCCCCTCCCCCAGTCACAGATGTAGCTGCTAGAGTCAGAATCCACTCAAAACAAGTCAGATAAAGCAGGGATTTATTGAAAGAGTGCAACGGGTGTCAGCATGGGGACTCAATAGAACTTAAGGCATGAATTCAGAAATACTGTTTCTACCTTCAAAAGCACGCTATTCTGCAATTCTCCCTCTCCTTCCCTGGGAATTACTTAATCTTCTAGCTTTCGAATGCTTAGAAAGCAGGGTTGAATCAACTTGGTCTGGGTCATCTAACCTGTGATCACTCATGACCATTTGATTTATATTCTTGTGTTTGTGTATGTGTGTATGTACCTGTTTGTATGTGGGATGTATGTGTTTTATGTATGTGCACACATATGTGCCTGTAATGTCTATGTGTGCATGTGTCTCTGTGTCTATTTTTGTGTCTCTCTGTGTGTTTGTACATGTTTGTATGTGTGTCTGTGTGTGTGTGTCTGTTTTCCTGTGTGTGTGTGTGTGTGTCTGTGTGCGTGTGTCTGTTTTCCTGTGTGTGTGTGTGTGTCTGTGTGTGTGTGTCTGTTTTCCTGTGTGTGTGTGTGTCTGTGTGTGTGTGTCTGTTTTCCTGTGTGTTTGTGTGTGTGTGTCTGTTTTCCTGTGTGTGTGTGTGTGTCTGTTTTCCTGTGTGTGTGTGTGTCTGTTTTCCTGTGTGTGTGTGTGTGTCTGTTTTCCTGTGTGTGTGTCTGTGTGTGTGTGTCTGTTTTCCTGTGTGTGTGTGTGTCTGTTTTCCTGTGTGTGTGTGTGTGTGTCTGTTTTCCTGTGTGTGTGTGTGTGTGTCTGTTTTCCTGTGTGTGTGTGTCTGTTTTCCTGTGTGTGTGTGTGTGTGTGTGTGTCTGTTTTCCTGTGTGTGTGTGTGTCTGTGTGTGTGTGTGTGTGTGTCTGTTTTCCTGTGTGTGTGTGTGTGTGTGTGTCTGTTTTCCTGTGTGTGTGTGTGTCTGTTTTCCTGTGTGTGTGTCTGTGTGTGTGTGTCTGTTTTCCTGTGTGTGTGTGTCTGTGTGTGTGTGTCTGTTTTCCTGTGTGTGTGTGTGTGTGTGTGTGTGTGTCTGTTTTCCTGTGTGTGTGTGTGTGTGTTTCTGGATCACATGGAGCTTCACATTCTAGAAACTGTATTCTTCTTTTCCACAAGGTAGGATGTCTGGGGAACTATGACATCTGACTCTTTCTAAAGTCTAGCCTCTGTCTGTATCATATCTGTCATTTTTTTTCTCCCTAGGATTCTTTAATTTCCTTAAAACTGGGGGGGGGAGGCATGCTGCCCAATGCCCACATGGTGATTAGCCATCAGTGCTTGAGCTGTGATTCTGGATGGGTCAGCAGCCTCCGAGTGGTACAAAGGATTAAGTTCAGGGCTGTGTGCATGCCAGGCAAGTGTTCACCACTATATCCCCAGATCACTCATTAACTTTGTTTAATTTTTTTCATTTTATCAATTAGCTTCCCACGTTGGGTGGTGAAGTTGAACACTGATGACTTGCCAAGTGTCTTCAGGACTGCTGTGTTATAAAACTCCTTATGTCTTTACACTTTCGAGAGGGCACCTTCAGCAGGAACCATCTAACACTGCCCTGTTTTAGATTCTGTCTACACTAAGTTTTCTGCTTGGATTAGAATCTGTGGACTTCTGGGAACCTAACCAAATCACATTTTGAGGCTTTAAGTGGAAAGTCTCAGCTCTTGATACCCTTGGGCTGAAGTTTGTGTCCACAAATAGCTTCTTTTTGTGGTGACAAATGAGTTCTGGGGTTTATTGTGTTCTGCACTGTTTCCGACATCAGCATTGCTGCCTGCATTTGCTGAGTGATGGGAACTCTTCACTATCTTACAAGAGGATCTGGCTCTGCCCTTTCCCTCTCGCTCCTGCCTCGTGACCTTCCTAGTGGGTTGGTGAGTTTAAACTGTGTGTCTACAGCTGATTCATGAGTGCCCAGTGAAGAAGCTCTGTTTAATGCAGAAATGCACTCTTGTAAATAGCTATAACAGAACAGTGTGTGGCGGGGGGTTGGGGAGAAAGAGAGTTAACTGTCTCATCAGGTAGCATATGGCTTTTCACTGACGTGAGCCTTTTGTGCTTCTCCAGATAAATGACGGTCAAATACTCTGCTGTGTGTGTGGTGACCACTCTGTGGCTCTCCTTCACCTGGAAGGGAGACAGTGCCTCCTGCGCGCCCGGAAGCACCTTTTCCCTGTGAGGACCATCAGGTGGCACCCAGTGGAGAACTTTCTCATTGTGGGTTGTGCAGATGACTCTGTCTACATCTGGGAAATTGAAACAGGTAAGCAGAGAGGTTAGCCCTAGTTATCCTTTGTCCGTCTGTCTGTGGTGTGAAAGCATTTGTCCAGATGGAAAGTTCCATAACTCACACGTCGATGACCTCAGTTGTTTTCACTCTTGGTTGTGCTACATTTATAGCTGCAGTGGAAGTGTGGGAAATAAAACACAGTGGCCTAAGTCAGATCCTGACCAGCTGATGATTAGCTGACAGGGCTCTGCTCAGGAATGAGCCGGATATTTCTGGAAGCTATAAATAAAAACATAAGTTATCTACTTTAATTATTAACAAGAGAGAAATTTAGTGTCCTACTGGTCTCAAATTATCATTAAATCCTGCCTTCTTCAGCATAGTCACCAACTCAGCAACATTTTGAGCTAATTGATGATCGGTAATAATGGAATATAATTAATTATAAAAACTCCAAAAAACTTGAGTCAGGGAAACTGAAGACTAAGTAGTTCAACTGAACTTTTTGATATCACACCATAGAGGCTGTGTGTTTTGAACACTGAAGGGCTTTCTTTTCCTTTTCAAGTTTGATTAGATGTCTGAAGACAAAATAACACATTTCAGAAAGGCCTGGGAACAAATAAGGGCAGTGCAATTACTGAATATGAGTTAGCATGGATCTCTTGGGAGTGTGTTCCACAGGATCTGTTGCATATTTTTTATTGATCAAACAGTGGTGGTTTTAGGTTGGGTTGTTAACAGACTGGGTAGTTCCTGATATAGTTTGGACCTAGGCTTTGCCAAAAAGCACTCCAATATTCTCTCCTTTTGACTGTAAAGGGCCAATGATGGTGATTTGTGTACTGGCGTTTCAAGGGCCTCCTGACACTGCCCTGCATTTGGACCATGTTTAGCAGCTTTTTGGCAGTTCCAATGTTCATTTTCTCATTTGAATCTCACAACTTGTGAACTAGAGAGGAGAGATACTAGTCATTGTTATATTGATGGGTCCTGCCACACCTGCTATGTAAATATGCAAGACTGCATAGCTAAGAAGTGGGAGACAGTTCTAGGTCCTTGGTGACACTTCACACAATAAATCCAAAATTGTGGTAATTTTGATATTAGTATTATTATTTTATTTTATGTGTGTTATGTCTAGGTGCGTGGTCATGCATCATGTGCATGTAGTACTGGAGTAGGCCAGAAGAGGGCACTGGATCCCCAGGGACTGGAGTTAGAGTTGTGAGCCACCACAAGGGTGCTAGAAATTGAATTCAGGTCTTCTGCAAAGGCAGCCAAGGCTACTAACTACTGAGCCACCTTTTCAGCTCAAATTAAGAAAATTAAAAAAAAATCTGTGTGTAGCCTATGGCTCTGAGTGATAGTGAGTATAGTGGGTAGAAGAGATTCGAAAGTATTGACTCCCTCCAAAACCTGCTAGGGAAGAACTACTGGCCATGGGCAAATCACGTGGCTTATCTGCAAGACAGTCTCTTGTCTTTGGAATAGATGTCATCATTCAGGATTAAATGAAACAATACCTCTCATATTGGAAAACAAGCAGTAAACCTTTAGCAATATTAACTAAATCATCATCAAAGAATCCAACACACCTTAACTGCAGCTGTGAGCCCTTTTCTGTGAAACACAGTGTTTATTTACATAGGGGGTGCTTGGTGGGGATTTTAGTGAGGATACTTGGTGACCAAACCTATTTTCATAGACAATAGAATCTAGAACAAACAAAGAACTATGTGGTCACTCACAAGTGCTCATCATTCTACAAAGTTTAAAGAGGCAATTCCATCTCACTATCAGAACTTAGGTACTATAAATCTTATCTCCTTACTGCTATGTACATTTCCATGTCAATAAACAGATGCCTGCATTATATTTCAATCAGTTCCAGCAGGAAGAAGCTGAATCCGTCTCATATTTGTCAAATGCGAAGACATTCACAAATGGAATATTTGTAAATGTGTGGGTAGGGGTGAGGGAGCAGGCTGGGAATCTGGGCTTGGGTGATGTGTTTCCTAACATGTGGGCATAGGCAGCAACAGGCATCTCCATCCCCAAACCCCCCCACCTCAATAAATGAAGCAGAAAGAACCAGAATGCAACTCAAAACCAGGAAGTTTGGGAATGCTCCAGGCAGCCATGCAGGGTCGAAGGAGGGAAATCAATGAAGGAACTCTCATCCTCTTAATGACTACTGTCATTATTTAATTCTACTAGACATCAGAGGTGAGGGGCTGGTTCTTGGCATCAGCCTACATGAGCATAGGCAGGACACAGGCAGTAGGAATGGATGGGCTGGGATGTCTAATGGACCATGATCAGTGTAGTGGCTGTCACTGACAGAACACATTTTCATTCAGGAGTCTCTTAGAATTGACTTTGAATATCATTTATGTAGAAGTGTTGTATCAAATAAGTACATGTTTGTTGCCAAATTAACCTATGGGATGTTTGTTCCAAATGATGTTATTTATTCTTTGTTAACTATGTTGTGGTCCTTTTTTAATTTCTTTAAACAATATCACTTCAACCTAGGAATTTACTCAGGATTAAAAGTATTATTATTTATATCTATCTGAGCCATTATATGGGTGACATGTTCCTTACTTTTACCAAATTCCACCCTAATGACCAGCAGACCTCTGTCCTCCTTTAAACTAAGTTTACCTAACTTCTTTTAGGCTACTGTCTGGTATTAACTTTGCTGAGAGTTATCCTTAATCTTTACAATTCTTTTTTCCCCCTTGAAGTTTAAGTATACTTATTTTATGAGTATGGGTATTTTGCCTGTGTATATATTACATGCCTGTGGTTGTCAAAGGAGGATGTTAGGTCCCCTGGAACCAGTGTTCTGTATGGTTTTGAGCTGCCATGAAAGTGCTGGGAATTAAACCCAGTTGCTCTAGAAGTACAGAAAATGGTCCTAACCTCTGAGCCATCTCTCCTGCCCCATTTGCTGAAGATTTAAGGGACTATCTTTTCCTTCCCAAGCTTGATATAACCTGGATAAAGTGGCACTATCATCTTTCTCATGCTTAATTTTGTAATTTTATTCTTTTTATATAAAGGTGGAAAAATCTGTAGTCAGGAAGGTTTGCCACGTGTAGTGGAGCAGGAAACCCAGGCTAAGACCAAAACTATTTTAGAGGAGCCTAAGAAATAGAATATGCCTGGTCACTGATGTGCCTGGCACACAGCTAAATGAACTAATGAATGGATGAATGAGTGTAGTAACAAATGTTCCTAGGCCTCAGTGGCTAAAGGATGGAGTTCCCAGCATTCACAGTTCCTGCTTCGCTGTAAACAGTCATGAGCTTTCTGCTCCTCATATCCCACAGGGTCCTGAAGCTGCTGCTTCCTCAGAGGGAGGACAAAGTCTTTTCTACTCCAGGAGTTTTTCTGGGCCTTTGTCCCCTTGCCTGTGGTTGTGCAATTCACTCGACAGGGTTCAAATCACGTGACTGGATGTGTTCTTTGTTCCAGTATTCAGCCTCCTAGAAACACAAAGGAGGAATCAATTGACTGAAGTGAGTCAGACATTTCCCAGCAGCCGCACACCTCCAGAGCCCTGAGGAGGGGGAAATAGCTAGTGTCAATGGGATAGGAAATCAAGGAAAAGGGCCTGGAAAGAAAAGACATATTCTAGAGCTATGCTCCCATGCCGATTTCATGCTGAAACTCTATGTGGGCTTTCTTTCTGTGACAGGTGGCATGGCTGGATGCATGTCTAGGTGATGCTCTGGGGTCATAGGTGGGCATGCTCACCTCATGGATGACCAAAAGGGGGGATTGTTGGTTAACACTGAAGGCTCTTGTCCTGGCTGAGGGCAGAGCTACAGCGTCGAGTGCTGAGAGCTTCCAGTTTTACTTATTGATCTGCTGGATGTCCCGTGATGTTTAGGCCTGATTAGGAAGGGGAAAAATTGGAGATGTCATTTTGATTAATATTTGTGCTCCCACAGTGTGTTTGGCACTGAGGACTCTGGGTCTCACTGCTGCATGGCTGGCACAATAGGAGTAATGCATTACCGATTCTTCCCTACATGTACACGAGAAATAATTTTCAGCTCCGAGCTAATTATTCCTTTTAGACATTACGTTTGGCATATTTGAGGGCTTTTGTGTTTATGGTAACAGATTTGCAGGATACAAACCTATACATTGAATTTCTTATGTGCTGCTAATGTAATGGTTATTTTTATTCCTGAATGTTTGTGCTCAACTTGGGCTGCTGTTAGAACACAGACCATATTGAGCCACTTAATTATCTTTTTGTGGGAAAAATGAAATCTCATTTGCTGAAAGGGAAAGCATTTCTTGATGGAATGGTTCAGTAGTTTTTCAGCACAGGGATGAATTATAAATATATTCAGTTTTGGGGTCTTGTTTTTCCTGTGACTTCTGAAATTACTCTAGTAGCTCCAGAGAAGCTGTATACAATACTTAAAGTATGAACAAGTCTGTGTTTCAATAAAACTTTATTCAACAAAACAGAAACAGGCAGCAGGCAACTTTGGATAATATAACATAAATAAAGATTGTTCTTCTTACCAGATATTGTTGGGGACATAGTTCATCTAGTAAAGTGCCTATATAAGCATGAGGGTCAGGAATTCTATTTCTAGAGCCCATCTAAGAATTATGATTGCCATTCCTGTCTGGGAAAGTGGAGACAGGAGGATCCTTGGGGTTTGTTGGACACCCAACCTAGTCAAATGAACACATTTTCAGAGAGACTCTGCCTCAAAAATTAAGATGGACAGGTATTGAGATGGTTCAGTAGGAAACAAGCAAACAAACAAACTAGTGGCCAAGTCTGGTGACTTGATTTCAACCACATAATCCATATAGTGGAAGAAAAGGACAAACTGCAAGTTTGTCCTCTGTACTCCAGATATGTACATGTATGTACATCCAAAACTGTAGAGAGCAATTGTGGAAGACATCCAAAACCAACCTCAGAAAGCCAAGCCACACGCATCCACACATACATGTACATGCACCTGCAAATATACATACACATGACCAAA